AATGATAATCATTAGGTGTTTGCAGAAAACGCCTTTGTGTGACGTGTGGCCTGAGTTTAGTAAAAATTCAGGGAAGACTCAAGGACAAGGTTTCCGTGATATAAGCGTCATTTTAGGAACAGCATGTCTCTGCTATCGGAACAATGCTTGAGACCCAAAACCGGACTAGACCAGACCAGACCGGGGCCTCAGTCGGTCTCACCATATGACGTCATCGGACATTTTGATAAAAGTGTTGGTGGGACATTTTGTCAGCAGTCTGAGCAGGGACAGAGAGAGGGGACATCGCAGAGCCCGGATGTCCTCAGGCCTGGAGGGAGAGTTAAAAATGGCTCAGCTCATAGGGTTAGTTTGGGAATTAATAGCTCCGTAAAGATAAATAAATATTGTTCTATTTTTAACTCTTGAATTCTTAATCTTCTTGTTTGAGTTTTACTGTCTGTCTGTCCTGATGATTGTTTGAATATTTGTGTATTTAGACCCTTTGCTCCTGTCCTCATATTCGTCCCATTGAGTTTTTTCCCCATGTCAAGTTCCTGTTTTCAGTTTTCTCATTTCCTTGTGGCATTTATTAAGTTAAATAATTTTTCCGTTCTGCTTTTAGCTCCTTCCTGGTCCATCTAGTAACAAATACACTTACACCGGGGCTAACACATAAGTATTTGTAGCGTACCATTACGTCGATATAGAATCCAAGCCTTATGGTCCTCTGCTTCCGGCTTCTTCTTCGTCTCTCTGTAGAATTGATCTCCCTCTTGTTCCATAGACAGAACGTACTGATCTCGACGTGCCCATCACACTCCCCACTTTAAACCCGGGAACAGCTGCTTGGAGAGCACACAGACGGTCCTCAAGAGACAACGTTATATGGAACGGATAAAAGAATACGACTTGGTCTTTTCAAGCAGCCGACTATAACAACAACAAAAACAGCTCACGAGTCAGAGGCGGGAGGAGTGTGAATACAGGGAGTCCAGTGCAGGTGGGAAGTATAATATCGGCTTTTGCGAAGGGGAAAACAACCATTTGAGTGAAATTAATTATGCAAATGTATGTTCATGGAAAATTGATAAAACGCTCCACTGAAGGAGAAGATGTAATTATGGCCATTATAATAGATCAGGCGAGAACTGGAGATGCTGAAAGTGTAAGAAGGTATTCAAGCAGGAGCTATAACAATGGCAACAATGAAGAGTGTTATTCCTGTAATCCATAAAAATAATATAAAAGGTTTTGTTTTTTGTATCAATCCAATCAACGAGAATTTTGGTTAGTCAAGTGGGAGATTTAACTTTGAAATTATTGTGATATATTGTGCCTGATGAGTGTATAATGAAAACATGTCTGTACTCCATGACAGCAGGGGATCATCACTGGTTGAAAGATATTGCACTATTGATAAAAAATGAATACATTGAAACTATACATATGATTTTAATTTGAGCTCCTTACACTTCACCACTGTATAGTTATAATAATAAAGTGCCAAAATGCCTGCATGGTGCTGCCGGGTTCATTAGGGTAAAGAAAAAAAAAGGAGAGCAAGTACAGTTACTAACAGTGGCCTTGAACATGTGGTGGTTCAAACAACTCGCCTCCCTTTCCCACTGTTGTCCCATCAACACAGCGTTTCAACCCAGGTAGGTTCTCAGTGTATAAAAGCCTTGTTTGTCTTTTTACAAACCAATGATTCAAGATACAAGATACAAGAATTTATTTGCCATTTGCAGTAAAACCAAATTAGAAAAACCGTGCAAGACTACCCCAGTGTGCACCAGACGGCATACACCAGAGCTCTTGCCTGGCGCCATCTTCACGGCGCCAGGCAAAAGCCATTTGAGACAGTGTGATTTTGGGTGGTGCACAATAAACAGACCAATCAGGTGCCTTTGGCAATTAGCGCGAGTGGAAACAAAGCAGTCTCACTCCTGATTGGCTTTGGTTGCTATGAAGTTGCTAAAACAGAATGAGGTAACTGTAGAACCTGTTTCAACCAGCAATAATCAGCTTCTTAGTAGGAATATTCCAGTTATAGAGTTGTGGCCATGGATTTTAATGCAGATAGGTCATCTAAAATATACAAGATTAGAAGCAGTGGGGGCGGGTCCCGGCTCAAAAGTGGCCAAAATGACGTGCGCTGACATGCTGCAATACCACCCCGAGCCGATGGGGGTGGACCCGGAATAAGAATTAGCCAATACTAACATATAGCATCTTCTTACCTCTCGAAAACGTCTTTACAGGATGGTCCAAAAGTTGGCTCTTGGCCCAAAGCTCCGTTCCACATGTGTGTCAATGCTGAGGGGGGTGTTTTGGACCAGTCTAGTTTAGTCGTTGTGAATTTGTGAAGGCACTCGTTTAAATGAATGGAGCTCGTGCAGCTGACGCATGCACAGATGCGTTTTTTTCACATTTTCCAGCCCCCCACGGCCATTTTGAATCACTCCATGAAAGCCCATATTTTGGCCCATTAGTTAGAACGGTGGAGATAACGTCCGTTAATACATACAGTCATTGTTAGAACACACCTTTTTGTTGTACTACACTAGTTCTGGGGTCAGATAGTAATTCACCTTTAAAACGCATGATATAAATGCAATCATCACTATTTTCTCTTTTCCCCACCTCGATATGTTGCTTGTAGATTTCCGTCTATGCATTGATATGCTTATATGCGTTTGAAAGCTAGCATTTATGGGACCGCTGCTCAACGGCCGCAATCCTGTCTCTAAGTGAGCGCTCTCTCCTGATCCTCTTGATCTGATGAAGCCTTTCTGTGCTCCCCAGACCCTGCAGGTGTTCAGCTGGGCTCTTGACCGATCACTGCTGTGTGCTTCCCTATACTCCAGGTAATAGTCTTCAGCAAAACCACTTTTCTTTGCCCTCACAGCGGGACATTTGACTGTTTTTCACACCAGACATTACATGGACCATAGCAGGGGATTGGTGTAGAGCACTTACCACAAACACGTTGCTACATGTGCCATTTGGAATCGATATCTTTTTATACTTCGCAGCACAATTTATCATTACACAAAGGGACATATATGAGCAGAACTGAGCTGTAAGAGCTTTGATGACGTTAGAATTGTACAGGTATCGTTCAGGCTTGTTTCTACCTCATTCAATATAACATTACTACAACAATCCCCCATTTTTACAGCCACAATATACAGTTTGTTCTCAATACAGAGTTTTTGATTTTCTATTTAAATTCACTTTGTAGTAATATGGTTTAAGGTTCGGGCGGAGGTATTGCTTGAACTAAAAACCGTGTATCAATACAGCCAGAGGACTGTTTTAAAGCTGGAATCCCTAACTTTGAAACACTACAAATTGACTTTAAAATCCATGTCATTAGTTCCTGGCTCTCAAAACTGTTTGGTTCTAGCTCTAGTTTTCTTACACACATGCATTTCTGGCCACTGTCACATCTTTAGATCATCTTTTTCAGTAAAGAAAGAGAGGACCGGCCCTCACTCAGCCAATCAGCTCTCAGAATGTAAACGTTTGTATGTTTTATAAAATAGACAGCATGTTGCGGTCTCATTTGTTCATAAATTGTTACAAAAAGAAGACTTTCTGTTGGGATAAAACCAGTGGGGGCGGGTCCCGGCTCAAAAGTGGCCAAAATGACGTGGCTCTTGGCCCAAAGCTCCGTTCCACATGTGTGTCAATGCTGAGGGGAGTGTTTTGGACCACTCTAGTTTACTTGATGTGAATTTTTGAAGTCACTCGTTCAAATGAATGGAGCTCGTGCAGCTGACGCAAGCTTTTTCACATTTTCCAGCCCCCGCGGCCATTTTGAATCACTCCATGAAAGCCCAATTTTTGGCCCATTAGTTAGAACGGCGGAGATAGGCGTGACTACGTCCGTTAATATATGCAGTCTATGGATAAAACCCATTATATTTAGGAAAAGTTACTCCAGCGTTTAATGAGTGTCGCAATTTTAACTGTTCCAAATATTTTGCAATGATCCATGGATGTTGTATGGCAGACAAAAGCACAGGAACACTTTTTTCAAACAACCTAAAGACGAGAATATAAACAGTACTATCCTATCTAAGGGCATCGTATTGCTCTCCATGAATCATGGTTATTAATAACCACATTGCTCTGCGTTTTAGCCCTCTCTCCTGCTGAATATATGGGACAGTGGCAGGCACAACACCACTGAGACAAATTTGTCTCAGTGTGCTGCAAAGCCCGATTTTTCACTTTTTAGAAATAATCGTCCACGTTTCTTTTTTGGTCATTTTGCTTTAGCGCAAGCTGCGATTATGAAAACTGGGTCCATGTGAGAGCGGTAGAGGTGGTGACAAGGCTGCTGGTGCGTTCACGACTTTTCCGTTACATGTCGGAGCTCGTCTCCAAAATAGATGGTGTGAAGTCAGAAAGCTCGTGTGAATGAGGATGTGTGACTGCGGAGAAAGAGAGACAGAGAATTTCAAAATGTTGCTGGAAATCAGACTTGGACTTAGAGAGTTACTTTCACTCGTAGTAATAATGTGTAAGATTCCGCAAAAAGGAGCCGTTATGTCCTGAATTTCTCCAACATGGATCCAATATCTAATCTAGAATCATCCATGTTTTGGTTTTCTTTTAAAAGACAAGTTTGATCAGGTGTCTCCAACTTTGACTTGGGAGCTACCAGCTCATTTACATACATTTATATACTGAACCTATATCCATAATCAGATCCTCTGATTATTTAAGGCCTGGAGGTCAATTTAATACAATTCTTAAAATTTGTAATTCATTTAGAGTTCCAGACTATCACTTTAAGTAGTGTATACTGGGGCCATAACGGACAGATAGTGCGACTGAACTCTTTGGGCTGCCACCATTACAAGCCATAGTCATCACTGGGAGTAACCTGGGTCCGACACTGTTCATGATATTTACAAAACCACTTTGGATTAAACACATTTCACATTACATTTTCAGACCAAGCCAGAGCAGCAACAAGTATACAATCTCACCACCTCTGAACTGTCCTAGTCGTGGAGGTTGTTGGTGGAGTAGAAGCTGGAGGCCTCCGACGCCGTCTTGGAAATGCTCTGGGACATGGAGCCGTTGGAGGTGAGGTCCAGGGAGGAGCTGAGCAGGGCTGACCCAGAACCCGCGATGGCTTTGGGCTTGGCCTGCTCGACGTCGTACCCTACCTGCAGGACGGTGGACACGCTGGTCTCCATGCGGCTGGCTTTGTACACGCTGGTTTGGGTTTGGAGGTAGCGAGTGGACTTGAGCTCCAGGCCTTCGTAGGAGCCGGGGGGGACGCAAGGGCAGCAGTGGAACGCCTGTTTGAAGCCAGCACGGAACCTGCAGACACACATGGGCAAGGGTTGGAAGAAGACCACTGGAAGAAAAATCTATCATCTACAGTCAGAAACCATTTCCTCCGCGGCGGGTGGTTGACTTCAGGATCACACACTCATTCATCCACATTCACAGCTCTGGACCCCTCAACTGTACTGCCCCTTTTTTCTGCCCCACCACAGCGGGGTCATGGCCCTGGCTTATACGTTGGCTCTCAGCTGGGGGGCCCTCAGCGAAAACAGGTTTACCCTCCTCACTTAGCACACAAGCTGTCAAAATGTAAGGATTAAAGCTGGGATACCTCCATTCTATCCCACAAAATATATAGAACTACTGTATATTCCGTTTAACTCTCAAAACAGCCTTTCAGGTCTCAGCCGCAGGAGTCTAATAGTGACTCACAGGGTTCACTCTTACAAGTACGCAATTATTGCATGTTTTCTATTCAAAAGACAGCATATGATGTGGTCTGATCTGTTCACAACATTTTACTTTTACACAACTCTGCAAATATCGTACTGCAAACTCTAATGATACAAAAGCAATTCAAATTTTGACGACAAAAACAATCAAACAGTATATATAATATTTTAAATTATTTTAGGGTTAGGGTTAGACTCTATCTCATGTCTTCAATCCATCTATTTAAAGTATATCTTGTTTTATGAGAGATTCAGGCCATGTGAAGTCATTTTTGAACATAAATCTATAATCATCATTGAATTTGTATATCTATTTCACTGGGGTCCACTTTCCACCAGCCCTGTTTAAGCGATAAAACACAATTAGTGTGTCACTGATTAATGCTGAGAGCAGGGAGCTGATTGGCTGAGTCAGGGTCACTTTTTTTGTCCTAAAAAGTTGATTTCGAGATATGACCAAAAAATACATAATATGACCAAAAAACACGTACAAAATAAATATAATATAAATTAATATAATATAAATAAATCCATTCAACCAGTCCCTCGTTCACAAAACAGTTTGGTTCTATGACTAGTTTTCAACCGACAGAAATTCAGAGTGGAAGACCTGAGAACCCAGCTCTGAGCGCCCCCAAACAGCAGTGCTCAGTTCTCCTGCTGTTGCCCATAGCAACAGCAATCAGTCAATCACACTCACTAACGCAAATCACGCAAATCCCCACCTGCAGCAATCAGGCACTGCCCGCATCAGCTTCATATCACGCAGAAGCTCCATCCAACCAGCAGCTTCATTCATGCCGCAACCCTCCTCCTCCCCATCTCCGCCTTGTTCCAGGCCAGCTCCTTCATCCTTGTCCTCGCTACCACCACCAGGGTCTAGGCCGCGGGGGATTTCATCTCATAATCTCTTTTCCCTTCTGCAATTGTGCAGTGCTCTGCCGGGGTCTAAGCGCCAAATCCCAACCACATTCTGTTCAGCACAATAAATGTAATCTTGAAAATAATGTCTTTAGTTTCATATGTGTAAATCATGCAGTCTCAGATTACCTGCCAACCAACATACAATTCTAATACCATGTTTTTCCTGTCTCTCCAGATTGAATTGCTTTTAAAACAAGTGCCATATGTTCATAGAGTTATACAATCATTTTATGACAACTCACCGAACAATAATGTAAGACTGACCCCCCCATGTGTGTGTCACATGTTCAGGCTGGTCCACGGCTGTGTCCACATGAGTGACACCTCCACATGGGAGGGAGCAGCACTGACACATGGGCACTGTCAGAGGGAGCAGCGCTGACACATGGGCTCTGTCAGAGGGAGCAGCACTGACACATGGGCTCTGTCAGAGGGAGCAGCACTGACACATGGGCTCTGTCAGAGGGAGCAGCACTGACACATGGGCTCTGTCAGAGGGAGCAGCACTGACACATGGGCTCTGTCAGAGGGAGCAGCACTGACACATGGGCACTGTCAGAGGGAGCAGCACTGACACATGGGCTCTGTCAGAGGGAGCAGCGCTGACACATGGGCTCTGTCAGAGGGAGCAGCGCTGATGTAAGCGTGTCTCCTCCATGTGAACACACACGCGTCACGTTCAGCCATCACTGGTTTCAGAGTCCTGCTGGTAGGTACTTTTTATTGACGGCACATTGAGTTGAGATCAGAATCTAACTAGAAAAAAACACATATGGTTATTTTTCTAAAGGCAGAAAACAGCTCTCCTTGTGAAGTGATAGTCTGCAAACTTGTCATAAGTGCTTGTGGGCAGAAGGGGTAGGGATAGCTTTGAAATGCTTTTATTTTCTTCAGTAGAGACATTTGTGTAGCTTCAATAACGACAGAATCACCACATTTTGGGATTGCAACATCTAAAACAAGCTAATGTTTAATTGTACTGCACTTCAATAGTTGTTTTAACCAAATTTCACTTAATAAATTAGGGAAACTGAACTGCTCTGGTGCAGTTGTCACACTGGCTTTGGTCCCAGTGGCAGGAGTCCAGACTTGCTTCATTAACCGTTGGATCCTCGTGGACTGATGACTGGTTGTCGTTGTTGATCTTTTTTCCAGGAGGCTGGAATTTCTGGCGCACATTACGTTTATGGATCCGTCAACGACCTTCCAAATGGCAGTTATGTCACAATTATCCAGTCGAGCTTGGCTCACACTGCACATTGTGAGGTCTCAGTCTCAGTTCTGTCTGAAACTCACAGCAGCTGCTGTAAGTGAAGTTTTACTGTATTGTCGGTCAAAACGAGAGCTGGAGGATTTTGCTTATTGTACATGCTTTTAGTCATAGGGGAACTGGAGCACCTGGAGGAAACCTATGCAGACACAAGGAGAACAGGAAAACTCCACTCATAAAGACCCTGTTCTGACCAGGATTCGAACCCACAACTGCTAACCACTCAGCCACCATTGTGGTGTTGGGGTATTTGGCGGTTCAAACAAGTAATGGCTTGTGGAAGGCCAACAATACTGGACTCCTGAACTCCTGTGTCCCTTCTAGATGCACATCCACACTGTTCCCATGATGGGAGACCCTCTTAACAAAGTCTGCAGTTACCGCCCTACACTCTCTGTGAGCGGGAGGCAGGCGCGGTCTCGTGTGCAGGTGAAGTCCAGTCAAGTCCAAGTGAGCTGAGTGTGCGTAACAAGAGAAGAGCAGAAAACCGCTGCGTTCAGGAATGCATTTCCCGACATAATAATATATCATTATAGCCAGCATGAGCAAAAAGAACATTTAATTGGTACATAGTAGGAAACTTGACAAAGACATACTGCAGGGGTCACACAATAATGTGTCATTGTCAATATATTGTGTTGTTTTGTGTCACTTTGACTGAGCAAGCTTGAAGATGCATTTACTATTTACAATCAGCCGAGCACCTGCTGAATTCCTTCCATCGCAGCCGTGATGGAAAGTGCATGTGAGTATAATTGAACTGAAAATAAAGTCTGTTCCCAGGAGGTAATTAGCACAAATGTCAACACACACATTTTCTCTGACCTTTTGGAGGAAGCTACAGTTTTGGCTCCTCACGATAAGCTGCGTCAGTGCGTGGCCACGTGACTAAAGACAGATAAGGACGCAGGGCAACAGAAACAGAGAAAGGCCAAAGGTGAAAGACTGAGGAGTCCATCAGTGAGAGACAGGACACTCTCACTAAAGACCAGCCGGGCTACTCTTATGTGGAACAAAACAATCGATATCAACAAGTCCAGACTGAAGTATCGCCTCCTTTTAATGAAACACTTTACAAAAAAGTCCATTTAGACGAACGAGTGGATTCTTTTCCAATTATGTTTTTAAAACCAGCTGAATTCAGATTGTTTGGACCTGTTCTTGGTTATTGTTTTTGTATTGACGTCTATCCCGTCTATTCCAAGACGTCTTTGGCGGATGCACTAATCTACGTTTTATAAATCAAGTTTCCAAAGTGCTGCACAGAGATAAAATCAACACATTGAAATATACAGGTTTGCCAGCCTTATTTAAACAAGCAAAAAATAGACGTAAGTCATAGTGGTTGTCCATAGTGCATAACCAAAACATTAGCGGAAATGACTCGCTCTGGTCAGTTCTGGTTCTCCCGGTCTTGGTTCTACTTCTGCAAGACCAGAGTAACACGTGAGCGTTCTGACCAATCAGAGCGCTGCTGATCAGAGTGGAGCTAGAGCGGTACGAGAGCGTGCTGAGTCTGTTGCGCTAAAGTGTGGATTTATGGAAAGCTGATGGATTTGACAAATAATACAGGTTCAGGATGACAATAAACACTACAATCCCCATAAGATCTGACCTTTGTGAAGCTGAAGGTTCTCCGTCAGCTGAGGACAAGACGTTGTCCTCAGTTAACGTAGAACCTACGTTAACGTAAAGGTCTATGGGGAAAATGTCCCTACAGTCGATGTGAATTTAAACAGTGGCCCCTTGTCCATGCTGGAGGCGGGTTTCAGCTATCAACACCCTATACAAATAATATAATATGCTACAATGACACAACAATTGTCAAGCGTTTTGTGACTCTGGTGTGTTAAAGGCGATTTATAAATAAAGATTGCTTACTTGAAAGTTTACAATAATCTAATATACAGTACAGACCAATTGTTTGGACACACTTTCTCATTCAATGAGTGTCCTTTCTTTTCATGACTATTGACTGTAGATCCACACCAGGCTGTGTAAGGGCTGTCTGGGAGGGTGGTTGAGTGCTGGGCCTGATGACCTGGCCTCCACAGTCACCGGATCTGAACCCAGTCCAGATGGTTTTGGGGTGAGCTGGACCACAGAGTGAAGGGGCCAACAAGTGCTAAGCATCATGGGAACTCCTTCAAGACTGTTGAAGACCATTTCAGGTCCTCTTGAAGCTCATCAAGAGAATGCCAAGAGTTTGTGAAGCAGTAATTAGAGCAAAAGGTGCTACTTTAAAAGAACAGAGAATACAAGACATATTTTCAGTTGTTTCATACTTTTTTTTTTGTACGTACATAATTCCACATGAGTTAATTCGTAGTTTTGAGGCCTTCAGTATGAATCTACAATTTTGATAGTCATGAAGATAAAAAACTCTT